CAACTAACTGGTTAAAGGGAAGACCAGTTTGATGAATGAATTTCTTGGACTCTTTTACTTCCCAGAGCGTTTATTTCTCTCTGTGATTCACCACTTCAGAGGGGTCTCATGATTTTCTTACTCAGTTTTTCTACAAGAGATTGTGTTTCCCGTGGGCAAGAAGTAACGGCGGTGATAATACCCAACTCTGCTTTAGTAAAGGCACTAGAGATGCACTGTAGCTGCAGTTGGCTAGGTTTTTTTATTTTTTATTGTGCTTTAAGTCAAAGTTTACACTTCAGGTTAGTCTCTCATACAAAAATTTATATACACATTGTTTTGTGACCCTAGTTGCTCTCCCTATAACATGACAGCACACTCCTCCTTTCCACCACGGATTTCCCATGACCATTCAACCAGCTCCTGACCCTCTCTGCCTTCTCATCTAGTCTGTTAGGTTTTATTTAGAATAGAATCACCAAGGGTATCAAAAAGTCCTTACCTGGTAAACATGTTCTCAAATGTCCTGTCAGCCTTGAGGACAGGGTGTGACAGTGCCCAAGAGATACCTTTAATTGTTAAAAATCGGACACTATAGATCAGAGGTTTTCAGTCTGGGACTGGTCAGCTCAGTTGGGCACTCTGGGGCCTTGTTTCTAAACCAGTTTTTATTTCCAGACACATTTTTGCTGGGCCATAGTAAGAACACTTCACAAAAGCCACAGATCCACTCCAAAATATGCTTTCCTCCCCCCACCCCACAACTGCAGTACACACGCAACACATACACACACACACACACACTCACTCACACACATACTTACACACACCGTACATACTCTCTCTCACACAAACATACCACACATACCCGCACACACTCTCACACATGTACACACTCTTCCTCTCACACACACCCCACACTATCTCACACACAGCTACACCCACACACACTCTATCTCTCTCACACACCCACCCCCCACACACACCGTACCCCCACACCACACACATACTTGCACGCACACTCACATACTCATGCACTCACACACCCACATAAGCAATAGAATGAGCGTTAGCTACCATGGTTTAGATGTTCAAGGGGAAAGAGAGGCATGCACTAAACTCTCAGTGTTAAAAGTCTAAGAATCCAGTACAAGGTCTTCAGTACTAACTGCAGACTGAAAACCATATCATCTTGGGACTCAGCGGCATTGCACACTGTTCTCTAGGACACACACTTACAGTGTTGACACCAGCCAGTCCTTGCTCTTTGGGAAGCTAATGGGATGCTGGTTCAGGTCTCAGTCCCCACGCACTGGAACACCAGGGCGCTTTGGGTGCAAACCCAGTGAAGAAAGGGTGCTGTTAGCATCTGGGTCTCTCTGCTCACCAGCCTGAGACACCCTGAGCCTCCACCAGTCCCAGGAAGCTGCCATCTTAGCAGCCGGCAGAGGCCACTGGGGATCAAGCAGTCAGCGGCTCATAGTATGTTTCCCAACCAGGGGCACCTTCCTGGGAAGCCTGGAATCACAAGATACACGACCATTTTTCTCGGTCATAGGAACGCACTGGGCCGCTTTCCTCTTTCTCTTCATGTGAAAGCTCTGGAGGAGACCATGGATCTCACTGTGGGCAGAGGTCTGTGTTTATAGCAAATAAATGACAACTGATTTCAACAGCCCCACTGGATACTCCCACTCCCCTCTTTTCACTGTTTCCTAGTCTTTCCCCCACCAAAGCCTAGAAGAATGAGTGCGAGGGTCCTAAAACACTACTGCAAGCTCAGTCATTTCTGTCCTCATGCCTGAGGCCCCAAACCACCTTCTCTCCCAGTTTCAGGCCTGATTACACACCAACGCATGGCTGGAGGTGCCTGGAAACAGCAAGGCAGATTTTCTTCCGGAATGTTTCATTGTTCTAATGGCAGAAGTGAAATGGCAGCACTTGCAGATTCTGAGCCTTATTTCTTTAGGCCCTGAAAAAAAATTCGTCACATAATTTGATCTCCTCTTGGGATGGCTCTGGAGTCCCTGGGTGGCACAAACGGTTAATGCGCTCGGCTGCTAACTGACAGGTTGGAGGTTCAAGTCCATCCAGAGGCAGCTCGGAAGAAGGTTTTGGTGATCTACTTCAGAAAAATCAGCCATTAAAAACTAGGGAGGACAGATCTACTCTGGCATACATGAGGTCACTTTGAGTTGGAATCAGCTTGACGGGCTCAACCTGGAATGAGTCTGGGTGACTTCAGGATACATAAGCGGATGATGCAGGCCGCCTTTTATAAAGATCCTGGTTTCAAAGTGCTTGACATTTCTGCATTTAATTGCAATGAAACATCACTTAATGCAAACTGTAAATTCCTTAATTGTGTTCTGCTTTGGTGACGGTGTGGTGTCCCTGTATACTGTGCCAACAGATGAACGATGTGGCCAATCCCAAGATGTCTGCTTCATTAGCTGCTTTATAAAAACGTGCACTTAATAAACATTTTTTCATACATTGCTCTTGCCCTTGACCATCTCTGGTAGTGTGGAGACTTAATTTCCCTCTCATGGGTGCAGATTTATCTGCCTGGCTATGGGCTGTCTCGGGGGGCGGGAGGGGGCACCTGGTTGTATTTTCTGGGGTCACAGGTGCACTCATTTTTCATTCTGTCAGAAGATGCTTTAAGACTCAGGAACAACTCTTGTATGATGTAGCCTTACCCACTGTGTGCCACAGTCTAACTCTGGAATTAGTAAGATTCCAGATTGTTAGCTAGTAGGGACCCTGAAAAAGATTTCTTAAAGTGGGATTTAGGGACCACCTGCACCAGAATCACAGATGAATTTGTGTTAAAATGCAGATTCCTGGGACTCAGTACTGAATCAAGCTCTGGAGCCGAGGTCCCAGAATCTGCATTTTAAACAAGAGTCTTCGATGATCCTTATGTTTCAAATAAGAGGGCTTTTCACCAGCAGAAACTCCAGTCTACCCCCGTAGCCCATTCTCTTCACACCCCCAAAGTGCTTTTCTGCACACTACTCCTCAAGGTGCTTTCTGGAAGGAACGGAACTCCTCTAACACATGCGTTTAAAATATGTGTCCTTTCTCGAGTTCCATGAACTTTATGGGTAATTGAGCGCCTGCCATAGTCTGCCCCCAGAGAAGGTGAGCAAGCTTGAAGAATAGGAGTTGGTGTCCAGTCAGGTTATAACAAATGGCAAGATGGTGACCATCTCTGCCTAATCCAAGACTCCAGTTCTGAAGCTGATGGCCTAATGATTTCAAGAGCTGTTTGAAAGGGCAGGCAGGCCCTTCTCGAGGGGCGAGAAGTAATATCCGCCTCTGGGCCTGCTGAGTGCACTTGATAATGTGGAAGAGCCCGAGGGCAGAGGAAAGAGTGGCAGGCTGGAACCACAGCGTTACCCTGCCTAACTGCACACCCTTTAGCAAGTATGCTGACCTCTCTGGGCTGTCATTTTCTCATCTGAAAAAGCAGGGATAAATGGTGACGTGTTTAGGGGTAAAATGTACTGATATCTGCCCCTTACTTAGAAATGCATAAAAGGAAGATGGGACTGAGGGCGGATAGAGGGATGGCTAGCTGGATAGAGATGTGATAAACCAAGAGCAGTAAAATGTTAATTGTCATGTCTAGTGGTGGGCATATAGGTGTTCACTGCATATCCTTCCAACTTTCTCTATGTTTGAAAATTTCATAATTAGAAGTTAAGAAAAAACTAAAACAGGTAAAATTTTAGAGCTGAAATGGACATTAGATATAATTTTATGGATAAGATTGAGGCCAGAGAAGGCAAGTAACTTGATCAGGGTCATACAACTAGGAGCAGAGGCAGGACTAGAACCAAGGTCTCCTGAGTCAGGGCTCCCAATCCAAGTGCAGCCCACTCCACCCGCCCCCCACCATGGAGCCCTTGGGCTCATAGCCATGCACCAATGAAATGATGCCTCTGAAAATCTGTAAAGCATGTTCCGTGGAGCCTTAATTCTATGAGACTTTAATGGGTGTTGCATGGGGGAAAGAAAAAGGTCACATAAGACTGGAGGATTATAATCTAAACATGTTTCTTTACAGAATGATTTATCAGTGCCTTTAATGTGCTAACGTCTATTGAATCTATGAGAGAAATACGCAACATTTTCCAAAAAAAAAATTAACCACAAACACAAAAATCCCCTTCCCTTGCTTTTTCTGAGGCAGTAGCCCTAAAGAATGTAAGATTGCCAGGGTTCTTTTTCTTGGGGGAGGAAGCAGAGGGGAGGTGGGACATGCCATTTCTGTTGTTTTAGCTTCCATGGTGAGTCCAGGTGTGTACAAGGTGGACCTCCTGCCCCCTACGCATTTCTAAGGGTTGAAGGTGTACATGTGTCAAGTGGCCATGACAGGTAGGCCAGGGACTTGGTGTCTGGTGAGCCAAGGAGGAGGCTCAGAGAGGCTTCAGCCCAAGCCCTACCCTCAGAAGTACCCAGTGATGCCCACCAGCCCCTGCCAGCTCAAGGCCCACTTCCCTCCCTTGGCGTCCACTGGCTGGCCTGGGGGGGGTCATAGCAGTCAGTGGGAAATAATCTCCCAAGGAACATGAGGGAGCAAATACCCACAAACAAGAATCCCAAGAAGAACCAAAGTCTATTCTGGTCCTTGGATTTGGCCAGGAGAAGGGCCAACCAACGTTTCCTGCTTCCGTTTCTCAGGACAGTGAAATATATTTTTTTGGAAATACATATTTGTGAAATATGTATTTTTCAGGTGACATACCAACCTATGGATACACACAAAACACAGGAGTCCCTGAATGCAGTCAAAACCCTTTATTGGAGCCACCCTCTTAACGCCAACAGTCCTGGGGTGCTTTCCTGGGTTGCGTGGACAGGCTGACCCCGGCTTTATGCTGGTACAGTACAAGTGAACGCAAAGACTTGCAGTAGCTGCCCTCTTAGCAAATGATCTTCCCTTGCCCTCTGATCACGGGGGACATCGTGGCGGGGATGGGGCAGAGGGAGGGACCCTTGTGCTTCTGTGTGGCTGGGCTGCCTTTTCTTCCTGGCTCCCCTAAACTGAGCGCAGTCCCTAAAGACACAGCACGCCTTAGCAGAGCAGTCCCGTAGAGCAGTCCCGTGGGGGCCAGCATAGCCTGCCTCCCCCTGCCCTGCCACCCCCATCACCCCACCTGGCTTTAGACTTCCTTCCGCAGCAACACCTTGATGCTGCTGCAGACCTGGCCCAGGGCAGCGAAGAGCGGGTTGCAGAAAGTGCGGATGCAGAGGGAGTAGATGTGGCTGATGCACTGGATCTCGATCAGGTAGCTCTTGATGCAGGGCACCACCGCCCAGATGTGGCAGAAGGAGATGCAGGCGAACAGGAAGCCCCAGAGGAGGGCGAGCGGCACGCCCAGCAGTGTGGACAGCAGGCGGTAGCACCAGTACTTGGAGACGGTGAAGGTGGTGTAGCTCACCTTCCACACGCCGTCGAAGCTGTAGGTGCCCACAGGCTCGGCGATCACATCTTCGAAATCCACCTGCAGGGGCGGGAAGGGGTATCCTCAGTCCCACCATTTTCCCCACTTCTACAGCCGCTTCTCAAACTTCTGCTTGGTGTGTCGGCATCCCCTGGGGGGAGGGCTTGTTAAACATAGATGGCCGGACCCCGCCCCCAGGCATTCTTCCTCAGTAGGGCTGGGATGGGGCCTGAGAGTCTGCACTTCTAACCTGCTCCCAGGTGATTCTGGTGCTGCTGGTTCCGGAACCACACTGACTAGCTCTGCACTGGATCAGAGAGGGACCACGAAGAGCCCGTCCAACCCTTCATTTTATGGCTAAAAGCCCTGAGAAGTTACGGGCGGAGTTAGAACCACAGCTCAAAAATTCTATTATTTTATGATCCTAAGGGAGTTGAACAGACAAATGCAGCCCACAAGATTTATTGCATGACTGTGAATAATGATGGAGACCCTGGGAGGTGCAAATATTAAGCATTCTGCTACTAACTGAAAGGTTGGAGATTTGAACCCACCCAGAGGCCCCTCGGAAGAAAGGCCTGGAGATGTGCTTCTGTGAAGATTTAAAAAAAAAAAAAATCCGTTGCCGTCAAGATTATTCCTACTCATAACGACCCTACAGGAGAGTAAAACTGTCCCATAGGTTTCCAAGGAGCAGCTAGTGGATTTGAACTGCCAACCTTTTGGTCGAGAGCTCTTAACCACTGCACCACCAAGGCTCCTCCATGGAGATTACAGCCAAGAAAACCCTATGGAGCAGTTCTACTCTGTAACACATGGGGTCACCATGAGTCAGAATCAACTCGACGGCCACGGGTTGGTTTTGTTTGGTTTGGTTTTCCCAGAGAATAGGCTGGCCTCAGCTTAAAACATTCTGATGACATCACCCTTTATCCCACTTCCCCGCACCCGGGTTGTTTCTAGCCTTGTTTAATCTCAGTCTCGCTAAAAGAAAAAAACGCTTTCCCTAACTGTTTGCAGATCTTTGGTTCAAGCGTTCTCCCTGTTGCAGTAGCCGCACCACCCACCCCTGTCCCACTAGTACAATAGTGCCTTCCCCCTTCCCTGTCTGAATAAAGCCTCTCCCTGCCTAAATCTGCATGAGTTTTTATTTGACTACGCATGGTGAACAAGCGAAGGTTTCTGCCCTCACAGAGCTTACGGTGTATGGCAGGCAGCTACACTAACTACACTATGGGGATAAGCTCTCGCTAAGGGAAGAGCAGGGACTGCGTGCACCCACTCCCAGCCTGGGTGTGAGGGCAGCCTTCCTGGAGGAGGAGACTTCTAGCTAAGCTGACACCTGATGTAGCCAGAGGGACACGTCCCGTTAGGGCTGTGGGCTGAGAAAGAGTGTTTAGGGCACAAGGAGCAGTCACTGCCAGGACTAGTAGGGTAGACAGTGTGTGCCCTCAGAGACATGCAGATGATTCCAGAAGGCCAGGCGCAAGCCAAGAATGGCAGGGAGTGAGCTGGGGAGGAGACACAGGACAGACCTCGGCGCACTGGGCAGCCTGGGAAGGTTTCTGTGCTGGGGTGACTCGGTAGGGTCTGGGTGTCCAGCAGCCCATTCTGGGGTGCAGTTTTGGGGTGGCAGGGGCGGGAGTGAGGATGGATGTGGGGGACCAGTGGGAGCCATTGCAGTGTCCAGATAGGAGATGATGCGGCCTGCTTTAGGGTGATGGCTGCGAGTCAGGTGCTTTAGGATCCGGGACGTGGCAAACTGACAGCCACACCAACCCTGGGATGAACCTCTCTGGCGAAGGTACCTCATCTCTGAATGTGGCCGAGTTGGCCGGAAGAACCTGTGCATTTGTTTTCCTTGCTCTAGTCCCGCAGCCACCTCAGGCTTTCCTTCCTCCCCTGCCCACCCCACCTCTCCCTTCACGCTGGAGGGAACGTTGGCACTCAGTGATTCTGGTCACCCATTCTACTGATGAGGTGGCTGAGGTCCCATTTGGGAAGTGGGAAAAAAATCAGTGGACTAAAAAAAAATCGTTCTCAGCCAAGTCACGTAACTAACTTCCCTTGAGTCCCTGCTGTGCCTTAGGCACCATCCTACAAGCTTTCTCATATGTGATGCTTAGTGTCGCTAAGCCTTAGCTGCCTTGTGTGTAAGACGGGGGCACGCAGGGGTAGTGTGAGGAGGAACGAATGCTGTAAAAGCCACCTCAGAATGGAAAAGCCCCGTGGGAACCTGAGGACTTAACTACTGATACGCCAGTGGTTATTTGCAGGTAGGTCCTGGTGAGGGAGGAATTACAGAGCCGTCTGCTGCAAAGTCAATGTTTCTTTCTGCAGTGCTTCTGGGCTGTTTTAATCCAGGTGGTTGAATGAACACACCATCTATGGTTCAGGGACACAGGGCTAGTAAGTGGGAGGGGCCAGTGGGTCAGAACTCAAGCTTCAATCATCCAAATTTCAATGTTCGGGGGTCGGTCCCTTTTTCACTTCTGTCAGGGGAGGGGATCCTCTCCTCTAAGTGTGTGGTTTTGATCAAAAGTACTTTTCATTATGAAATAGCACAGGCGCATTACAGAAAATTAAGAGAAGTGCGTAGAGGAAGCAAAAGCGTTTCCAATTTGTCTTTCTCTAGTACTAAAAATATTACTGCTGTTGTTAGCTGCTGTTGAGCCACCCCTGATTCACAGCAAGCTCGTGTACAACAAACAAAATGCCGCCTGGTCCTGGCCATCCCCATGATCGGTTGTGGATAGGACTGTTGTGGACCATAGGGCTTTCATTGGCTGATTTTTGGAAGTACATTGCCAGTTCTTTCTTCCTAGTCTCTCTTAGTCTGGAAGCTCTGCTGAAGCCTGTTCATCACCATAGCAACTAGCAAGCCTCCATTGACAGATGGGTGGTGGCTGTGCATAAGGTGCACTGGCCAGGAATTGAACCTGGGTCTTCCCACGGAAGATGAGAATTCTACCACTGAACCACCACTGCCCCACAGAAATACTGGTACTTTGGTGCATTTCTTCCTAGGATGATGTTTTTTGCGGGAAGGAGTGAATATACCCATGTTGTATGTACAACGCTGCATCCCCTTTTCTCACTTAACTTTAGACTCTGAGTTCCTGTGTCCTGCCTCAGATCCCTGGGTCCCCGTGTGCTTGGTGGCTGGGGCAGCTGAGGATGAAGCCTCACGCCGGGGGCCAAGGTTAACAGGGTGAGATTCCAGGCTGCAGGCGATATGGAGAAGCTGCTTTGGGGAGTCAGCAGGGCCCAGCTTTGTATTCTGAGGGTCTCAGCAGAGATCACTTAGCCTCTGAAACAGCCCCTTGTGTGGGAGGAGAGGGTTGGAGGGAAGCATATGGGCCTCATCTCCTGGGAAGAAAGTCACTTCTTCCGAGAGAGTGTCCAGGAGGTCGTGTCTGGCTAGGAGCTTGTGGGACTGTGGAGTCTGGAGGCAGAGACGGAAAAGTGGTGTGCTGGATCTTTGGAAAAGAAGGCCCAAGTTGGTCAGGGGATATCTCCTGGCTTTGGAGAGCAAATGGAAAGGGCCGGCATCTTCTATGTCTGGCTTACATCAGGCAAAACTCCAGAGCTGCTATTTCTTCTTGGGGCAGCTTCCCAATTGGAGAAGCTGGGGAGTGTAGGCCCAGGGGACCATTCTAACCTTGACTTTGATATACCCACATGGTTATCTAGTTTCATTCACTTTCCCCAGGGCCTGGGTCCTGCCAGATTGCAGCCAGCTCCCACTCCCATTGTGGCCGATGCCCAGGCCGATGCCAGCTGCCTCTTAACAGAGGTGGGCTCCTAGGGACATGCTGAGGCTTCAGAACTTCACCAGCAGAGGGAGGCGTTTAGGCAGAGGCTTGCTTCCCTGCCTTGGTCCCAGCAGACCCTCCTCCTTCCTTCCCGCTCCTCTGACTGTTGGCTTACTCAGCACCTGGTGGTTGATCCTGCCCTTCTTGTGACTGTTCCTTAGAACAGCGCCCCCTACTCACAGATAGTCCAGTCCAGCCCCCTCACCTTACCGGTGGGCAAACCGGTCCAGATAAGGGAGGTCCCCTGCCTGGGCTCTCACAGGGGGTTGATGGTCAAGCCCAGACTGAATCAAGGTGTCCCAACTCTAAACCGGTGCTCCTCACACTGCCCCACCTGGGTCAGACTCTGAGGTAGCTGCTGGCGGCCCTGTGGCTGTCAGGGAGGGTGACTGTCCCCTCTGAGGCCTGGCCTGGTCAGCCAGAGACACCTGCCCAATGCAACTCCCATGACCCCTTCTTCCCAGCCACCCACCCAGCTCCAAGCTGTCAACAATTTCCCAGTCCCTCTGCAGCCCAGCCAGCTTTGCTCCTTTGTGCCAGCATATTCCTCCATCAACACGTTTTAGTATTTGGGCCTGACCTCTAGGAGGCAGCACAGTGGAAAGGGCCCTGGCTATAAAGTTCCATGGCTTAGGTCCGAGTCCCATCGCTGCTACCTATGGGCTGTGTGGCCTTAAGCATGTTACATAACTTCTCTATGCCTCATTTCCCTAGTATTTATCTCACAAAGGTTATTGGAGGATGAAATGCGTTAAGACATGTAAAGTACTGAGAATATTTCCTGCACAGAGTTCCTGATGAATAACCGTTAGCTGTTGGTGGTGGCTGTGTACACGGTGCTTTATTCAAATAGGAAGCTATAGTGCCAACGGTGGCTTCGCACATCAGTGCAGTTGCTGACCAGATGAGTGACTCTGGCAGGTCATGAATCTCTTTGAGCTTCATGTTCTCATCTGTAAAATGGGCTTACGAGTACCAATCTTGCTATTTCTCACAACCTTATTGTGAGGAATAGAGGTAATTTTTTCTTCCCGTTCATTCATCCATCTACCCACCCACCCATACATACATCTATTCATCTATCTACCCAGCTATCTCTCAGTCCATCTAAAAAATCAACCAACCAACCAAGCACCGTTAAGGTCAAGTCAATTCTGATTCACGGCAACACCATGTGTATCAGAACAGAACTACTCCATACGGTTTTCAAGGGCTATGGCATTTCAGAAGTAGATTACCAGGCCT